ACCAAATGTGGTTTAGGTCCCAAATTACACCCTGGAGATGCTTTACCCTTTAAAAAGAGGATGGGAAACTGCCACAAAAATCCAGAAAATAGTACCTGTGTTAAAAATATGCAACAAAAAGGCTGTGGGGAGGGCTAAAGGCAACTTATCTTTAACCCGTGCAGGTAGGACAGTGTCAGAGAGAAGTGGGAAGATCAGTCATGGTGGGTTTTACCATTAGGTCTGTAGCAATTTTACATGTAGAATTGAGGGGAACTCACAGAGATAATCATACTAACACTGATTTCCCTCATTACCTTTGAGACACACACCTACACACATGGACCCTCAGACAGTGAGTGAGCCCAGTATGAACTGTGAGGAACACAGAAGCCAGTATGTTGCTCTGCAGGGATCTATGGTATGAGGAGAAGCCATTAATGTCAGCCACACTGAAAAAATAGATGCAATGCATGTTTTATTCTAGTTTTGATATCATGGCTTGATAGGTTCATATTATATAAAAGCAAACTGAGTTTATTTGTTTGCATTCACCTTTGTTTCCCCCTCATGACTCGGCTTAAGAAGCACTGAGAGAAATCTGACATACTTTCGTCACAGCCTTCATTCAATTATCACTTCAATTACCAACATGATACTGCACCTCTGGTCCCAAGAGGTATTGTTGTAGTACAATGCTACAGATCAGATTTAGATCTCAGATCAAAAATGTTACAGTTTGCCCAAACCCTAATTGGCATCAGGCAAAAATAGAAAGTTTGAATTCTATCTGATCATTGTCAGTATGGGGCAACAGAGGATAAAAGTGGTTTGGTAATAATTTTATTACACATTTGCTACTGTATAAATGCAGTTTGTTTGTTTTAATTTGTGTTCTGTATTACACTGATATCATCTGAAAAAAAAACAGCTAAGCAGGACAAACATGTTTTCAGGATTTTAAAAAAGTTCACTTTCACATTCAAGATCTTTCTTTATTAGCACAGTCTTACAGTACACAGTGGGCAATTTGAATATAAATACGCATTTTAACTTCTGGATAACAGTATTTGCACTGACTTAGCCCTGTAATTTATAATGTTATTTGATGTCCTCTTCAGTGACTGGTAAATGTCACAAAAGGAAACATTTTCTATCTGACAGAAAAATAGTTCCGGCATGCTGTATGTGAAAACTGGCAAAGAGGTTGCACATAATAAATCCATTTTTGATTCTCCACTCTTGTCACTGCTCTGTGATGCTCCCCGGGATTTGTGAGACACATATCAAGCTCATAGTCATATGTCAGTCACCACTCAGACATGTGGATCACCACATGTCGCTGTAAACTGTAGAAAGGGTTGACTGAGGTGAGGGAATTCATAGCGCTTGGGGAAATAGGCTCATCCCCAATAATGATCATTGCTCAGTTTGAATTTAATTTGCAAATCCAAAGCTCAAAGAGGCTACTGTGTTAGAAGACAGTAGAAAATTAGAGACGCTGGTAAATGTCTAACTTTGGTGAAGGTATTTTCTTACAGTCTTTTCAGGCACACAGCCACTGGTGTTCTTTTTCTGCCATGCAGTTCCAGCAACTTTCAAAAAGTTAAAAGCAGAAATAACCTCATGCTCTCTTATCTAAACTGTCAGTACCTCGTTTATCATGATGAAGTAAAGAAAACCAATGTTGTGCAATAGAATAACACAGGGGGGGATTTCATGTAAAGGTTACAAACTATTTTAAGCAACCACTTGAACAATGACTTTAAGCGATCAAACATTCCATCTGTAAACCTTTGTGGTGTGTCTGCATCCATGTTTTTGTACAGTATGTCCGCTCAAAAGTGTGTGCGCTTTCCTGTTTGAGTGTGTTTGGGAGACGACGTGAGAGGGAACAGTGCCAAAAGGGAATATAAAAGTTACGTCAGGTGTGTGTGTGTGTGAGCGTGGGGGTGGTTATGTCTCTTTGTGTGCAGATTGTTGTGTGTGTGTGTGTGTGTATGTGTGTGTGTGTGTGTGTGTGTGTATGTGGGCGTGCATTATGCAAATACTTACCTGGTATGAGTCTGTACCGACAGGCAATTGGGGCAGGATAAGGAAGTTAGGAGGATAAAATACTCATTGTAGTAGGGCAGCACCTAGTGTGTCTGCAAACTTTCATTTGTTAATTCAATGATTTGGGAAGCAAGAGGACTCGTCTCTCCTGACTGTAAACAAGAATACTGGAATTTCCAGAAACTGTACAGAATTGAAAGTCAATCTACGTGAGACCTCTATCAGGCCTGGTTGGACCCCAGTTTACTCCTCTGGTAGGCTGTCATATTTTTTATATGATTTAATTGACCTTTTAAACAGCTTGTGTTGAAATTTTGGAAAATGGCAACTTTTTAAAATCTTTATAAACTTTATAAATTTCCTCTTTTTTTCCCTAAACAAATTTTAGACCTCCAATTATCTTTTCTGTATGGTTTGTTCTTGCAACATTCTTCATTTATACAGTAAAGTCATAGGTAATGGGGCAACAGTATAGTACTCTAAATGAGACCTTAAATAGGCCAAACATAAATAAATAAATACTGACTCATTAATCATCAGTAAGTATTATTTTCCTTACATATGCTAATCTAAACATAGATTTCTTAAAAATGTGTTTTTTGTAACTTAGTGCCCATACATTCCCCTGTGTTTGTGATTTTTCAGCACACTTTCACACTGACAACACTGCACTTCCTCACTCTGTTTCAGCTGCTGTTGTTGGAAAACCATTGCATATTTAATGCCATGACATTAACCTCAGTGTCAGTTATAGGTTAGTTTCAAAAGCAATATGTTCCTCAAAGAGGTAAATTAAAAAATGAAGCAAAACTGGAGATTAAAACCGATGAAAGACACTGACACTGATGGTGTGAACATCTTCCGGTAAGAGCTTCTTATCTGTGCATGTCATGATGACGGCAAGGAATGATTTTTTTTTCTTACAATGACTCACCTACCAGGATATTGATCCATAAGAATGATTATGTCTTTCTCTTCTTCCTTTTCAAACTGTTCTACAAACAACAACTGTTGCCTTGTTGATAAGATACCTGTTTGCTAGACATAGATGCTGGCAGTGATGGTTAACACAAAGCATGAGGTATTTGAGCAGACTTAGCTGATTGACAGTACATTGGCATGGTGTCATATGTCACATTTCCCCAAAGGAAATCTTCACCTGGAATTTTGACTTTAGTGTTGTTATAAAAGTGATTTGCCCAGTCTTTAAGGAGATAATATTACTTGTTGTGTGTCATGGATATGTTAGGCTGGCAGCACAATATTAGTTTTTTATTTCTTAAAATGTGTGACAGGACTCGGTGTACTTTTGTTTATAACCTACCATAAAGGTATGACCAAGATCTACCAGGAGCAGGTGAAATACAGGTTACTGTGTAAACAACTGGGTTCATTGTGTAGGCATGAAACAGCCTTGAAACAGATGTCACTTGTCATGTTGACCTTTGACATGGTATGATTACTTAATAACATTTGCAACACTTCACAGTTCGAGTTTAAATAAGTTCCCCTCTCAAAGCTCTTTAAATGTTGAAACATTTTACAGCGGTTTGTGTGAACAACATACTAACTGAACACATTGCACTGTAAATGATTGAATGTAGAGTAATCATTTATTTTGGCAGCACTGTTAACAGTGACACTAATGAGTAACAAGCTGGTATTTTATGTCTAATGTCCCAAACATTCAGAATCAGATTAAATGTGACTTCACGGGGGATCATAAAACCACGTACTGGCAGGGAACAATACCAGATGTGGTTGCGCTACTGTGCATGTGCAACACCTTCCCACACTATGCTGGGTTAAACAGTGGATCTGCTGAAATTCTGACATACTTTATTTGCATGGGATGCAAATATATTTGTGGTTGAGTCTGAAACATGCCTCTATATGTGTACAGCACTGAAAACCACTCAGTGGTACCGGCAAAATGAGGAATGAGAGGGAGCGCAGCCCATGCTAAACACCAAATGAGCTCACAAAGAAAGCAGCAGCTGTAATTATGAAATACCATCAAGTGTGAAAAATATAATAAAATCAGTAACTCAAAAGTCAAGAAGAAGTAAGTGCTTGTTACTTAACACATTTTGAGCATTTACTGAACTGAAGAGAATGGCAGTCCAAAACAAATATGGCTACAAAACTGACAAGCAGATTAAATGGGCACTTAACACTAAAAACAAATAAACTGACCCACTTGTCCATAGCTTGTATGTTCAATGTTGAGCTCACACAGCTGTGCTGACAAAATTCCTTACTGCATTTTTGTGCCCTTAGGTGCCATATTAATATGCCCAGATATTTCAGGCCTGGCTGATTTGGCTACACCCAAGGCTACCATACTAACAGGCAAAAATGAGTAATAACACAACTGTAATTACTGAGCAGCTACACAATGACTGTTGACCACTTCTAATGTGAAACAGTGGTGGTGGGATATTCTGTTTGTATTAGTAGTAGCTTAACATACAGCTCTAATACAGTGCAAAGAGAGTGCACAGTAAGCAGTGAGGCTGTCTTCAGTGATGTAAAATTGGACTGGCATACATGTATACATTGTTTTCCTGTGAAGCCCTGATGCATAGGTGGGCAATCTGAAACCAGTTTGGGAATCAAAACTAATATACAAAGCAGCACAGTAATTACGGAATAAATACACTGAAGGGTCACTGCTAAAAATAATAATATTAATCCCGCAAAATATTAAAAGTAAGATTTTATCTTATGAAAATGTTAAGGATGACAACTTTATTGTACCATACATCAGCTGCATGTAAATATTACCAGATTATTTTGTTAATATTCAAAGTAACATCGCAGTGTAACAATAGCAGTCATAGCTGTTTTGTGTGTGTGTGTGTGTGTGTGTGTGTGTGTGTGTGTGGATGCCCCAAGGCTGTAAAGATTATTATTTTGTTTTCAATCTGTCCATGCAGTAAATTACTCCTCTCCTGCCTCAGACCCCAGGCCATGCGACATCAGAGCGTAGCAGCTACAATATGAGCATAACTCCAACCACCACCTTGGACAGCCAGCTGACCTCTTCCTGGGGCCCTACTAACTCTTACCCTGATGGTGAGACTTACAGTATCACCCATACTAACACACTCCTAATGAATCCTACTCTATGCATTCTGCACTTGTGTGAATATGTTGATTAAACTGTCTGAATAATATCCTAAAATGCCCCAAGAAAATATGCTAATTTGGTTCTGCTGAAGGTTTCTGATTGCTCTTTATTCAACAATCCAATTCTCTGACTGGTTCTGAAACTGCAGAGCAAAATGAAAATCATTCAACAATTAGCAACTGATTTATTGCTCACCTGGTGAGCCCAGAGCTCTGAAACACAAGGCACAATTTAAAGATTCCCAACTGAGAAGTAGCTCAACAGCTCTTTCAGTAAACTGCTCTGCAGATTAATTATTGACTAATACCTTCAGTGGTGGAATTCATGTTTCCCTCATCAGGTGTATATTTACATTAAAACAAATTTAAGTCAGTCAGGTAAGCAAATGCAGTTTTTAGAATGGGTTTACACACTGTTAACCATTGATGTCTGTCCCCAGTTCCTGCAGTGATGCCTGGTTACACAAGCCACCTGTGGCCTCATGACACCCCCCCTCAGCTCTGGAGTAAATATCAGGTGTGGGAGTGGCTGCAGCAAATCATGGACATACACCAGATAGATGCTTCCAGCATTCCCTTCCAAAACTTTGACATGGATGGCCATCAGCTCTGCAGTCTGAGCTACCAGGACTTCATCCATGCTGCTGGCAGTGTGGGGCCCATTCTCTTCCACAGCATCACAGAGCTCAAGTGGAGCGGTGCGTCAGAAAGTCTATGTCGGGGCGCTGAAAGGGAAAAAAATAAAGATAATTAGTCCTGATAAAAGATTGCTGGGTGATTTGGGTTGGGTCTAGAACAGAGTCCTGATGAAGTGTTGCTGAGAAGAGATCAAAGAGCCAGTCAGGGGTCGTACTGCATGGTGCTGGAGAGGAGTGAAGGAGTGCTTAAAGCCGGGGAGATGATGGATTTGTTGTTTGCTTTTGCCAAAGCAGGGTCTTCTAACAAAACACAGAGGGGGTGTGAAGCTTGGCAACATGCTGAGAAGTGGCTCATCTGCTGTTTTCAAATTAGAGTTTGAGGGTTATTGCAGACAGATGGGAGTTCATAGGTCTAAGGCTTCACCTGTGGGCTTTTGACTATAACTATTATGTGCAGCACTCTATTTGTCATCTGAAGTTAATGGCATTTCAGAACTCCAGTACTGACAGGAAGCCAGGCATAACAGGTTTAACCTCCAGGTTACGTTAAACAAAATTAGAACACAATGGTGTTATTGTTGTTGTTGGCATTAAGACACCAGCTCACTGTCATGGGACAAGGTGTTGTATTTTTATACCATCAAATACCAATGTCCAAATGACTGTGATACCTGGGTATAACTATCATACAAACCCGAGGCATCTGTGTGGTGAGACTGGAAACTTTTAGTGCCAGTGCTTCTCAAAATCTACACTTGGTTAGTTTTCCTGTGTTGATTTCTAAAGAATAATGCTTGTTGTTATTTCTCTGTTTCTTCTCTTTTTATTGTGAAGAACAATAAAAAGAGACAAGAATGCATAAGAAGTCATTTTTCAACCCAGTTTTCATTCTTATTGTTCCACTGTTATGAAAAGAGCAAATGTTTTGGTTCTGAAAATGCAGCATCATCCACCTGCATGGGCTGCAGAACAGTGTCTAAACCATACCATGCATACAATACCATAAAGCAATGCAACATGTTAACTACTATAGCTGCAGCCTGCAGTCTCTAACATGCAATTTAGGGCTCTAAAGAGGCTTTTAATACTTTACACAGTGACTTGGTTCATAACTTTTTGATGTCTCACCATGAAAGTGAAAGTGAATAATCAGTCTTAAGGTATAACCAAACAGTGATAAATTTAATTGCTTGTAATTTTTCTGATTTGTAATTTACTTTCATCCTCCTTCTCATCTCTCCACAGGACAGTACCATGTGGAATTAGAGCAACTGGAACTCAAACCAGAGTGTAAGTGTTTCTCAAACAAGTTATAAACGAATGAAATAACATTAATACATTTATTTTATCTTAATATATTCTGTGTTGCTTACCCTTTTTCTTTTGCAGTAGATTTCTCCTGTTCATTTCCAGATGCCAGCTACCCACCTGGAGGTACTGTAAATGTCTCAGTCTGCTGCAGTACTACCACTCATGCTACATTTGAAATATATAACATTTGCTCTTTTTTTCTCTGTTAACTTAGAGATCTATGATCCTCCCATTCACTCCTTTACACCTGCACCTGACTCTCCCTCTAGTTCCAGTGCTGGTAAGAAACTCATTATATATCCAACACAAATGACTATTACCTAAGCCCAAAACCACCATGCTCCTTTATGCTATCACACTGGAGGTAACCATATTCTCAGCATGGTCTCATTTTCTTGGAGTTCCAAATCAGCTAAGGCCTCGGCAGAATCATTCAACAATAATTTCATTTCTGTTCCTCAGACATTAAAAGGTCTTACAGTCGTTCTCATCAGGTCAAAAAACACAGTAAGTGAAATCAGTGTGTACTTAACATTTTATTATTATGTATTTATTCTTACCATTAAAACTACTTTTTTCACCCACAGACAGGGGGACCCACTTGTGGGAGTTCATCAGGGACATTCTACTGAACCCAGAGCGAAACCCAGGACTCATCAAGTGGGAGGATCGCAAAGAGGGGGTTTTCCGCTTTCTAAAGTCGGAGGCTGTGGCACAGTTGTGGGGCAAGAAGAAGAATAATAGCAGCATGACCTATGAGAAACTTAGTCGGGCAATGAGGTACACCGGCACAGCTACCATACATACAGTTACACACATGCAAAACTGCATGTCTGCATACTCGTACAGTAAACAAATACTCGCACAGCTACAGTATATAGCACTAACACAAGGCCCTGTGGGTAAAGGTTTGTAGGAAATGACTTCAGAAATCCTTGAAGAATTTGAATCTCCTCAAAGTATTAGTGTGACTTAAGTGCTGATAACTAAGACAGCCATAACTTTTAGATCTCACAGATTTTAATATATTTAGTAGAGATTGCAGCGACTAAATGTTATCATGTAGAACGTAGCTTTTTTTGTGTAACTTTTTTCTCTGTGGTAGTGAAACTCAAAAACTCAAAAGCTTTCAGTACAGTCAGCATCTACACTATCACAGTTTGTTTTTTTTTTCTTTAGTTTTGCAATGAACTGTAAAATCTGTGATAAGACAATAAATTCACACTGCATTGTTCCAAATCCAGTTTACTTATAGTAGCAGCTTGTAAAGCACTTTCTACTGAAAAGGAGATACTGTAACAACCAAAAAAGTGACTTTGATGCAAGTTGAGATTCCTATAGGCAATATCATTAAGAGTTAGACATCTAAAACTAGTAAACTCAGCCTTTTAAAATACATATTTAACATTCCCCATCACTGATTACCTAGAACTGACTCATTTTAAACTGCTATATGTTTTCACCAAATGAACTGACATGGTCCTTTCCTGAGAAAGGTTGCCGCAGTACTCACAGTTTTACATTCAAATGATTAAATCTAATGAGCTTAACGTCACTGTAGTGAACTACAAAATGTTCCTACGGGTATTGTCGCTGTGACCACAGAGCTGATTTTTTATTTACTGTGGTGTAGCAGAAGGATGTGGAGCTTGATGGCATCTCCAGACAGACCGGTGCTCTCTGTTATGAATAACAAAAGCAAAGGAGCAGCATCCAAACCAACTTTGTCTCATACTTTTTTTTTTCATTTGTATTACTTTAATTAAATCAAAAATGTGTGTACCTTTCATAGGCTTTTTCAGTACAATATTTGATATATTTCTTTTGTCTCAGGAAATTCAAAACATATTTTTAGAGAGAACATAATTTAAAAAATGGCAGAACTGATTTCTTTTTTTAATTTATTTTGCAGTGGCCTTTATAAAGTAAAATTTCTAAATACTTATTCATTTTAATGGATTTACAGGCAGAGGTCGAGCTGGGGGTGGAGGCACAGCCACCCCTGGCTAAGGTCAGCCCACCCTTCTGACCACCCCTTACTGCACAATATTTAGCATCGCTAATTTTTTTCCATGCAGAACCATTTCTCCTGGGGATGCTTTTTAACAGAGCACTCAAATAGCTCTTACTCACTCTGCATTCCCACCTGCAGCCCAACTTTGAGGGGGCATAAGAGACAGTTCTGCTGATGTAAGATAAAACCAAAGTCACTTGTGGCTGTATAACTGGAAAGACGTTTTACTGCGAATAGGTTAAACTGTTTTATGAGTAGATCAATTGTAGCAAAGCACAGGTTTGAAAAACGTACAAGCTAAATAATGTGCTAATTAATGTGCCACCCTAAAATGAGTACTGGCCCCAGTCTGGCCACCCCTGTGAAAATTATCTGGCTCCGCCACAGTTTACAGGCATTATTAATAATTATGCCAGGAAAAAAATTATAACATTTTAAAATTATCCAGACATGGTTGATGGCCTGCTCTTCCTCAAACATATTAGATCGAATAGAAATCATGGGATTATAGCAGCAACTAAAATCTAATGCACTAGCTTTATTAGATAAGGTAGAGTTTTCTAAAATAAAAAAAATAAAATAAAAAAAAACTTTTACTGTGTTTGCTGTATGTTTAAATTATTTGCTTGTGAAATTGTGTGGAGGAGTTGCAAATTCTGTTTAAGCACTTATAACAGTATATAGCTAATTCACTTAAAAGGTCAGCTGAAGTGTTAGCACTATAGTAAAATGAAGTGATGTGTCATGTGTCAAAGCACTTTAAAAAATTTTTTACTGTACAGTATCACTGAAAGTGGATGAATTTAACATTTGAAGAGCACTGAAGGCAGGGAAACTGGCAGATGATCAGTCAGTGTGTCTTAGCAATGAAAGCAACTGAAATGTCATTTAAACAAAGTGAAGGAAAATATGGTGGAATGCAAAACTGTTAATAAGAATAACTGAATAATTTGCTAACCAGTTCTTTTGTCCTTTGGTACAGATATTACTACAAACGGGACATCCTCGAGCGAGTAGATGGACGGAGACTTGTTTACAAGTTTGGAAAGAATGCAAGAGGATGGAGGGAATCTGAGAAGTGACAATTTCATTACAGTAATTTATGTTTTCTTTAATGTTGTAAGCAAACTTGATGTTTTAGTTTCACTGAAGATATGTTTAAACTGTTTACACTTTGGTAAATGTGTGTTTGCCTCATTCATTTTTTGTTAAATTAATTCCTTTGCTGTGACAGTGCACTGAGGTGTTCTTTACTGTACTTTTGCTTAGTACACCTTGTCAAATCTCACGCACATGTTTACATAAGATGCAATGAAAAACTAACAAAAACAAACAAACAAAACCCCACTACCAAACTTGTTTTTCTTGCATTTTTTCAAAGTCCCAAAGGAGTTTTGTGTGTTGACTGTTTTAACATTGATACTGTGAAGTGTCTTTTGGGAAGGATGCTTGATCGTTGCACTAAAAAAAATTATAAAATAACACACCACAAGCATAATGCAGCAATGAAGTACAAGAAATCATAAACAAGTAGTAAACTATAAAATTTTACAACAAAATAACAGTGTGGTTTATTACTCTGGACAGTTGCGTACATGAAAACTTGCCCAGCCACTAATAATTCATTCAGTACCATCCATTCACCTCAGCTCATTGTGGTGTCCCACCTAAAACTCCAGGCAAGTGGGGCAACCTTCTCCCCCGATAGTTGAATGTGACTGAATTAAACTTAAAAAAATGTAGACCTGTCAACATTTAAATTCAATCATTTTATATATGGCACTATAAATTCTAAACATTCATATGCATGTAACCTGTCATGCACATGCACATGCTGTATCGCAGGCAACCCCCTTCCTGAAAATATCCTTGTATGCACATGATATGGTTTGTTTTTTTTAGTCCATTTCATACTTTGCATTCATTGAACTCTAAAGACAATGTGTAAAAGTTTGTTAATAAAAATAAAGGTTGTGATTGTTTTCATTTTGTGTACAGATTGAATGTTATTGTGTAAATGAAGAACAGGACAGTTCATGAAACTAACTTGTGAGATTCCAAATATTCTGCAGTAGCTGATCAGCATAAATCAGCATTTTGGCTTCAGTCCTTTCTAAAATTCACTTCTTTCTGCTCAGACTTAATCAATATTAACTGTCAACAGCGTGAGATAGATTTATAGTTTTAACCTTGGTTCCCACTGAATATCACGCAACTTTGACTTTGAAATGCCATGAACTTAGAGACAGTGCAGGTTGTTTCAGTTTGAAATGCCACACAGTTAATTGTTCACTAGTGCGTGCCATAGCTGCCATGCTAGTTCCTGCAGGCAGAAGATGAATGACGAGTTCTTGATGTCCAACAAGATAAAAGCAGTGTCAATAAAAGGCTCCTTTCTTTGGCCTGTGTTCACAAGCAAACCTCTGTGTAATCTTCACTCTGGCTTTTGTAACCCTTCTTTACATAGTGTGACACTGACTCACACCACATTCTGGTATTATCTTTTTAGATGGCTTCACAAGTTGCTCACTACTTCGTCTCTGATTTGAGGAGGATGTTTTTGTTTTCCATTAATGATCGGATGAAATAAAGACATTTGCATACAGAGACAACGTAATCAGTGACTGCTTCTGCCGAGATCAAAACAATAGCTGACTGTCATATTATCATATTACATGAATCAACCAAACAATATAATTTAAATTTAAGTCCATCATATCCCATTTTTTAGATTTTATTTACATTATTCACATGTAACAATCATAGTTAGCAGCTTATCCAGAGCAGACCCATATGCATTATTCATTTGAAATGTCAACAGAATGACTTGCCGCTAAAGCATAGTTTTCACTAAAATAAAAGGAGAAGCACTTTGAATTGGATTTGTCTATTGTTTAACCATTATTGTACATAATTTATCGTGCTGGCCATTATAACACAGACACTTCTAATGATCAGACACACAAAGATACTGACATCTCAAATCAGTTTTATTTTGTAATAAAGTGGAGGGTCCTGTGAGCTGATAGTGGGACATGTTTGGTATGACCGATTGAAGATATGTGAACTGTTAGGCAAATTGTCCAGAATGGTCTGACTTCTGCAGGAAAGAGACAGGAGCTTGATTTTCCTAACAGACCACTGCCCTCTGAATGCAAACCTTGACTTTACATAGTGTGTGAAGGTTCATGAAAACCGCTGACATTTCATTCAAATCATGCAAGGAGCTTTGTGTTTGAGTCTCTGAGGTCCAAATGGTTCTCAAGAGTAAGATGTAAAAGAAAATAAAGAACCTGAGAAATATGGGAAAGCACCATTAAACCAGTGTAACAAGTGCTTACAACATTTGGTTGGCAGGTACTGGCAGCAGACACATGATAGCACACAGACAAACATGCACCCAAACTGGTTGTAATAGATCTTGGAAAAGAAGGAAAGCATACATGTACCTGACAAGAGATACCTAATCCATGTGTGTCACTTCTGCAGCGAATGGTTTTGTTTCACAAAAGCTGCATTATATTAGGAATAGTGCAGACAACTGTCTAGGAAGATGACAACACCGATAAAGACTGGATGACCAAAAACATTTTGTCTTTAGCAAATAAGAGGATTTCTTGTCACTGAGTGTAATCCTCTTTTGTGATCATTAAAAAGGACAATGTAGAATGCCAGCTCTTCTGAGCATGGTGGAAACACTACATATACTGTAATGACAACAATATGTGTGTACAGTAAATTCAAAAATTCAGAATAAAGTACCTACTCTACTCTAAAGGTGAAACTGTATATTGGCCTCCTCCACTGTGGGTTATTTAGGCTGCACAGGAAACAATGGCTTCCTTTGTCCTGTAAAAGACAATTTTAAAAAATTTGCCCAAAAATGCCTTTATCTCTTATTGTCAGAAAAAATATATTTAGATTTGAATAAGCCATGGAAGAGCTATTTTATTATTTAAAAGCAAATGTATTAATTTAATCAGATATATGCAGGAGGAAGAACAGAGCGGTGATAAAAGATAACCTAAACATGGCCATATAGTATAGACAGCCAGCTGGAATTTCATGTCTGTCTGTGTCCCATGCCTGCTCAGTGGGCCTATTGTGTTCTCTCAGCAGCTTATCAGGCCCCTTTATCATTTTCTTTTCACACTTAAATGGACCTGTGAAGCATGCATCCCAAATTACGGGTTGGACAGATTAGAACTGCTTCAGTGATGCAGCTTTAATGTTTGAGGGCAGTAATGTGTCATAGTTCACTGACAGGTGAGAACAAACACACCATAATTGTATGAAAGACAAAGCAACATAGGGTATAAGGATGGTATAAAGGTTAAAAAAAATTAACTGGTGACTGATCAATGGTAAAAAAAAAACCCCAGCTAAATCTCCATTTGCAAAAACAAACATTTTTACCCTTTCACACATGTTGGTCATTACAATTATTCACAAGCCATTTTCTTCTATGTGCAGATGTTAGCTACTACAGTGGACACTACTGCATTACTTCATCAGCTTCTACCCAGTGGCCACCAGTTGTAACTGCAACAAAAATTTATTTTACCTTGTCAACACTTCTGTTGCATGTAAATAAATAAAAGATTAAAATAGAGTAACACCTAATGAATAATATATAATAATATTTCAAGTATTGATTTCATTCATTTTCTACCACTTAGTCCCTGAACGGGGTCACGCAGAGCCAATCCCGGTCGGCAATCGGGCGAAGGCGGGGTGCACCCTGGACAGGTCGCCAATCCATCCCAGGGCTAACACATAGACGAACAACCACACACACGCACTCCTATGGGCAATTTAGAGACACCAATCAACCTAAGCTGCGGGAGGGAGCCGGAGTACCCGGAGAGAACCCACGCAAGCACGGGGGAGAACATGAAAACCCCACACAGAAAGGGTCCCAGGTGGGGCCCGAACCCGGAAGGCAACGGCGCTAACCACTGCGCCGCCAAGTATTGACTTCATATAAGGAGTAAATATTGATTAACCATATGTCCATTTATTTGGAACCAGTCCCGGCTGTCACTGCAGGAGAGACAGGGTACAGTCTGGACAGGTCGACAGTCTTTCACAGGGTTGACACTTAGAGACAGACAACCACTCACACCCACATTCATTCCTACAGGCAATTTAGAGTCAGCTGTATGTCTTTGGACTGTGGGAGGAAGCTGGAGTGACCTATAAAATAGTGGAGGAATTTCCCTTGAATTCAGTGATGATGAATATAGTGATAATGATGATGAATGGCTGCCAAAAAAAATTGGGTTCTTCAATTGCTGGTGGAAAGTAACTAAGAACATTTATGATATAATTCTAAGACTTTATGGATCCAAAATTCACAAGCTACCTCACAGTACTTCAAATTAAGGCAATTACCTGATCACTCAATCACCAGGTCAGCTGGCAAGTTGTATATTCCTATGTACTTCACTGTAATGGCTTCCCCAGACAGCAGCCCAAATGTTGTACTTGCTTGCATTGTGACTGAAATGATGTTTATTCTAAGCACTCTCAGAGGCTAACGATTGCCCCTGGTGATGCTGTTTCGTTTCCTCAAATCTCTACAATGGAGGCAATGATAGCAAAATTTGCACTAGTTATAGAGTCAGTGTACCCACTTTTAGGAGAAATACAACAATTTCAAAAATCCCGAAGTTATCCCTTAAGTAAAGGATATTCCATATATATACAGGTATGTATCCCTCAGGTACAAACAGACAGGAAGGTACTGGCCAAAACAACCAGACATTGTGGTAGTAGGGTTAGACTAGGAACAGAATGAGGTAGTGGTGATAGACATAGCAATTCCAAATGACTGCAACATCAGAAAGAAGGAGCATGAGATGCTGGAGAAGTACCAAGGCCCGAAAGAGGAACTGGAGAGGATGTGGAAGGTGAAGGCCAAAGTGGTCCCAGTGGTGACAGGAGCGCTTAGAGCTATTACTTCTAAATTTGAAGAATGGCTCCTAAAGATCCCAGGAACAACATCAGAGCTTTCTGTCCAGAAGACTGCAGTGCTAAGTACAGCTAAGATACTGCACAAAATCTTCAAACTCCCAGGCCTCTGGTAGAGGACCTGAGGTTGAGGAAAACACACACCACCCCGTAGCAGTGAGAGCGGAATTTTTAGAGAGAGAGGGAGAGAGAGAGAAAGAAAGCCTACAAAATATAGAAATATAGGTTGAAACAGTATGCAGCATAATTCAGCACTGTTGGCTTTTCCATTGGCCTGAACAGTGTAAAAATGTTGAAATATTTGTTAAACAGCATTAAAAAACACAAAGGAAAATAGGGAAAAGATATTTAAAAAATCCTGAGACACTATGTCATAAGGGTTACGAAGTCAAAACAGGAGGAAGTATTCATGATAAAGGCTTTGTTTGCTTGATACAAAGTTTATTTCCTGCTCAGATTTTTGGACTTTCCATTACTGTGATTTCGAAATTGCACCTTTCACCTTTAACTCATCCAATAATTTATTTGTTTACATCACAGAAACCAAATCAGATGTAGATCATGTTGTTGCATACACTTTTATATACAAACATGTAACAAATTAAATGAAAACTCAATCTAAAGTGTATTAGTGCAGTGCTGGGCCACCATGTGGGCCAGCTTCACAGCACCTTGGCATACCATTCTTTTGAAAGATATCTCTCCAAGACTATCATCAAAACAACAAACTACGTTGTGATGATAGTCTTGGAGAGTGCTGTCTAACCTGACAGTCCAAAATATTCCATTTGTATTCAAGTGGGTTGAGATACGGTGACTGTGAAGGCCAAAACACATGATTCATGTCATTATCATACTCATCAACCCATTCAGTGAACATCTGTGCTCTATGGATGGGACATGCCATCCTGGAAGAGATTATCAGTCAGTGCTCATTTAGTCAGGCTTTTCCTTTACACTATACTGTACATTTATATATCTAAAGGATATCATTTCCTCTGGTGAAAAAAAAAATAGCTGATGATACGTAAAAAGTGTCTTTATACACATAAAACATTTTCATATTTATTTATTTGTGTGTGTAATGATTTTCTCAACTGTTGTTAAGAAAATAAATTCAGATGGAATGACTTTCTTTATTTTTCATTGAAGTGCAATTGTACATAGTATTTGGTGGGAACCTGTTTTGATATAATACATTTATTTAGAGCCCGCACATTAAATAAGCACAATAAATACACTAAAACATAATGATGTTAATTATGAGCATTAGCCCCTATCCCAAATAATGTTTTGAAACTTTATTTTACAAATTCTAAAGAAACCCCTACATTCTCCCCAGCTGAGGGCAGCAGATCACTGAGCACTGGGAATTTCGACAATTTTTTCATGATTTGAACGCAACAAAAAAACAAAACAAAAGCCCTCGAAGGACCCAAACAGCTTAGTTGTTTTAGCCTGCTCGATTATTTCTAAAATAATCACTACTACATTTTTTGTGCAAAATAAATTGGTCACAATTAACAAGATACTTCCTAAAATGTCTTGAAGTCCATAGCTCTCGCAAGATTAATTCTGATGTCTAAATTATGCTATTCTCATCTAAGTTATCCGTTTTACTGTTAGGCACTCGTTTGGACACACGTCTCACCAAGGAGGGACGACAACATGGCAGCCTCCTTGCATCTGGGTCGTCAAGGAATTTTATTTGGCCTTAGATGTTCTAATTTTAGTAAATGTTTATGGGCCACAAATACATGGCAGGAGCATGTCAGACACGTCTTTCGGTCACCATGGTTCCTCGGTGAGTGTCGACACTTTAATATAGCGATAACTGTTGTCATTTACTATGCTAATTTGCTATCATCTTTTTCTCTTTTCGTTGTTACGTTACGGTTTTTTTTATTTGTTCCTTATTGTTTTTCATAATATGATAATGTTAACTAATAGTTAACTAAAGCTTGAAAGGGACATGAATGTTATTTAACCCAGCATAATTTTATGATGTTTGTCTGTCAACTTTTGTTCTGCATAAACGCTATAGGTTAACTACGCAGAATTAGCTTATACTGATACTGATAATGGTAATAATAAAAAAACAATGATAAACATACAGAAAATTCAGGCTATGGCAAATGTGTTATTTACCAGTGCATGAAACGTCCCTCTGTGACATGATATTTGTCAATCTGGTGGCCCAAGATAATTTTATCAATCTTGCAACTGTTTACCATAGTTCATCTTCATGCATGTAGCCAGTGTAAACACTAACTCTAAATGATGTTAACTCCTTTTTGATAGCGTCAAAATAGGCCGTTTCCAAAACAGATATTCTGAGCAACATCAAGAAACCAAAGAGTTCATCTTATTTTTAATACTTGTAAGTTACACTTCCTACTTTGACAAGTCAAAATTCAGTTAGGGAGTAGTGAGATGCATGTAATTAAACTAGCAGGTGAATTACATTTTGCAGTAGCTTTCTGGTACATTCATATTTGCATAGTTTTCAAGCAAATAAATTACTCTGATTGTCTCTTTTGTTATCTACTGAAACTAAACAGTCATGAAAGGAAAGGAATGGATTTTGTTCTTCATTTTTATTTTACCATGCTGCATGTGAGCAGGTTTTAAGTGTTGGCACAGGCATTTTTAGTGCCAAACAGAACCACTTGACAGGTAAGTATTTTTGTATTGACTTTTTAGTTTTAGTAAGATAATAAAAAATCCAGATTTGTTTGTAGCAAAATATAACATTTCTTGGAGTTTTGTCCTTGTGAAAAGCCCAGATGGGATTGATTTGTTAAGGACAGTTGGTCTCATAATAAACTCAATCCAGTGGCATTTTTTTGCTGGTATGTGTCTTTTGTATTATATTTTGTTAGAATGCTTTATCACCTTTTCAATTTGATCACTTTTTTTATTTTTTATTTTTTTACAAAGTAGTTTGAACAGCTTTTTCTAAGTAGCTTTAGTTAACCAAGCTAAATTTCTACTTAGTTTGCCTGTAATTCAACTTCTTCCCTGTAATTAATTGGTAGCTTGCAAAGCTTTGCTTTCAAAGCAGCTTCCCCAACACTGTCAGAATTTCTTCTGTAAAAGGCCCTTTGGCTCCAGTGGTCAGTAATATACCTTTTGACTTGTTTAAAGTAAGAAAAGTAATAGTGGAATTAATATTAATGATGGCTGGCTTCTCTTTAGGTGAGCCAGTTCCAAGCCTCTGTTATTGTGCATCCTGTCTTTCTGATGTGGCTTACACATAATGGAATGGAGCTGTCAGTAATTATATATTTACACCTGTGCTGTTCTTGCTTTGACAAATCAAAATCTGCTGTGAAAAAGGATCTTGTGATAAGACTTTTATCTCATTTGACTTGCTGTCTTCCATGGTGGGTTTAACTTCCAACTGACTGCATTTGGTTACTACAACTGTCTAACATGCCTTCCTCACAGCAGAGACTTGCCACAGCAGGAAATCAGACATGTAATAAGTTATATGAACAATGGCTCCATTCCAAATTATGCCAGCAAGCAGGCATGCATACAGGAACTGGAACACTTAAATGGAAAGCAGCTGCTATTGTAGTTTTAATTATACCTGTATATTTCCTGTTATGACAGCCAAGTTTGACTTTGAAACAGGTGAGATTACTGCAGCACTGTCAGACACATACACAAAGACACAGACACACAAGATTATTTAATGCAGACCCCACATTATATATGTCTAAGAAACAGCTGTTAAGATGTTTACAGATGAGATCAAGAATCGGTGGGGGGGGGTTGGGCACAGGGTGGCAGATATAGTTTATACACACATGCAAAATGCAAAATAAACAGTCAGATGGCAATTTTTACCAGGTACTGTTATTATTTATTTTGAGATAATACAAAACGTATTAAGTAATGTCTTCACTATCCAGTTTTGTGAGATATCCAATAGGTGGCAGCATCACACACAGAGACCTCACAGGATTGGCATATTTATACGGAAATTTAGGTTAATGAGGCAAAGGCTGCAATGACTGTGTGATTGCATCAATTTGCACTTTTTTTTTTTATTTAGGCCTATATTTCTGCGATTTTATTTAAATGTTATGGTGATTATTTCATGTGCTTGTGCAAGAAGCATTGTATCTCAAGGCCATAGATTTATGGATTTGCTTGAAATAGTTTGTGTTACATAAAAAAGCTCCAAATGCCTTAACAGCTTCTTTCATACCCACCCTAAATGTCTGCAACATCTGAGCAATTCACTGAGTATATAGAATACACAGAACAAAGGAGAATTCTTTTGAGTTGTATCATGTTTGAGCAATAACTGACCCAGCATGCCTCACTCTCTTGCAGTGAGCCCTCTGCAGCTTGGCATTGTGCTTTCCTCTGTCAGCCTGGAGAGCCAGTGTCAAACACAGTGCTTGTAAGCCAGTTCAGCCCTGGCCCTACGAGTGGCCACAGCTGGTGACAGTGGGGGTCTTTGATGGTAGCTCAAAGGCCTGCAAGGGTGCAAGCTGCTCTGCAGCCTCATAATAGCACTATCTTTTCCACACTGAACCCCCCAAAGTCTTGTTGCAGTCAAACACTGCTACTTCTGAGCCTGTTACTTGATTTATGAAGCTGAAAGCTCTGAATAGGATTTCCATCTTGTTATTGCCTCAGTGTAAGTAGTATGTTATTCTCCTTCTGTCCTGTAGGTGTCACTCCACTCAAAGTGCAAATGCCCGCTCTTTCCCCTACCATGGAGGTGGGAAACATAGTCAAATGGCTGAAGAAGGAAGGTATGACACAAGACTTCATTGGATGGCTCTCATTACCACCTCATTCTTCACTTTTTCTAAGTAACCTGCTGAAGCTGCTGTGTGTTATAATGAGTTATTCAAAGGAACAAATGCCTCATTCGCTCTTCCCACACTGATGGACCAGTGCTATCATTACTAATTTAAGCGATGACACCGCCTAGGTTTGTAATGCAGTGGTCTGAGCAGTGGAGCACCTCAGAGCCTCTGGTAGCTAACTGGCTCAAGGAATCATGACAGTCACTGTGCATCACTGCTGAGCAATTCTGCTCTGACAGATGTCTCAGCTGCAGTCATTTACCAGGAGACAGCGCACTGATTTTTGGTTGGTTGTTCTACTGTGTTGCCATGTGCTTTTGCGATGTGGGGTGATATATATGATATATGTATGTGTGCATGTGTGAGAAAGCGAGATAAAGAAAGACATGTTCTCTCTGTCCCAAAATGCTATTTTCTACCCTAAATCCATATGGGATTTTAAGACGGATAACAGAAAGCACTTATTTTGCACAATTGAAAATGATTGATTGATTACAGTTAAATTTTGTGTTTTTATATTGTGGTGAAACGGCTTTGGGTCCACTTGTTTAATCTTAAATTTTGCACTTCATTTGGTATTGACGTTTCATATGATACTTATTCACTTTTGTCATAGAGCCTCCCTTAATTTTCCAGCTCTTTGCTACATTCCCTAGTGATGCTTTATCTGCCAGAAGACAGAAGTGTGACCAGATTTTTGATCTGACCTTAACCGTATCCTCACATCTTAACACCTGCACATAAAGTATGTCACAAAGATGATTCATTTATCCAGTCTGTTGTCTGTGTTTTCTTCAACTACAGGTGCTATGGTAAAGGCTAGAAATGAGCAAGTGCTGGAGACTTGAATGTAACCAAAAGATTCTTTATTTTCAGAATCAAACTTGTTGATTTGTACAAGTATTTAAATTCCCGTACAAATAAGCTGTACAGGTAACAGTAGTAGTTTTCCTTAGACTTTATTTTACATCCAAGGAGACTGTAATGTCAATTTTTCTGTGTATTTCTCCATTGGAAGCCTGTTTGAGGTTTTGCACAGGTCTAGCTCAGAATAGATTTACAGGCATGGAAGAATTGAAAGGGTGGTTCCTAATTGCCACACTTTGTCATAGCTGAGCAAATGCTAATATATTCCAGCTCTCTCTTGTTGTGGACCAGTGGGAATCTACTGGAAATCTAAAGATAGGCAAAGATTTCGTCTTCTATCAGACACGCAGGTTTCTGAAGCTCAGTCTTTCTCATGAAACACTGATTAGGCTCTTTGTTTGCTGTGTGGCCCACAGCCAGAACAGATAATTTGCTACATAACCTTTTTTGTTCCTTCAGTTGCGTTCTTTCATTTTTATGACAATTATTGCTTTCCCAGTGTTTGCAAAGCCTCTGTAAATGAGTGCATGCTGATGGTACCTTAATAAGTTATGTGGTTCTTGTCTCAGCTGAAGTTATTCCCTTATACTGTGAAAAGATTGTTGGAAATTAGGGGTTATAAACATTCAAATAAATGTTATATTGAAAGCTCTCTGATGGGGTCCTTTTCTTCTACAGGTGAGGCGGTGTCAGCAGGCGATGCCCTTTGCGAGATTGAGACTGACAAAGCTGTTGTCACCATGGAATCGAGTGATGATGGTATCTTGGCAAAGATCTTGGTGAGTGAATACAAACACACATAAACCTCTGCTGCAGGGGTTCAAGGAATTTATTTGAAATAACAGTAACTGGTGCGTTATCAATGAAAGTGGGTGGTTGACGTTGAGCATTTAAGTGTATACCAACAGGATTTAAATTGTGCTTTTTCAGAGTGTTTTCACTGTTCTTCAGATTTCAGTTCTGTTATTTTAACTGTATTTAATGAATATTCCCATTGAATGAAGTCAGTATTTGTGTGCGAGTCTTTCAGGGTTCCTTCATTGCCTTTGCTAATTGGACAAATTGTTAAATGTGCTTTCTCTGTGCAGTGACAGTAAAGCTTTGACAAGGTGTCTTCACTGATAAATATCTTTCTCCTTTCATCTCGGCATTATGCTGTTGTTAAATTTCTAATAAGCTGCCAAAAACAGAGCGATTAGTTGTCTTTCATCAGTATTTCACCATATGTTTGTCTCCCTGAGCAGAAAGATGAAGATGTTTTATCTTCCTCTGCTTTTTGACTGAACTGCAAGACCTGAACTGGGAGAAAATGAAGGTCATTATGCAAGCTGTTCATTGTCCCAGCTTCCCAATTTTAAAATCTGAGGGATGGCAGTGAGGTGTTGATGTGTTTGTTCTCTTGTCACAGAGAGTGCCATATCTAATTATACAACATGTTCTGTGGCTGTGTAATTTTGGACCTGCTTACATTCTGGTGAAGCCTGAGCGGAGGAGGGTTTAATTAGATGATGTCTGCCTGTGCAACCTTAAGAAAAAAAAAAACAAATACACAGCCAGTCTGCACCAGCAAATGCACTCAGATATGTTGTCCCTGAAGACATATGCTGTGCACTCTTATGCTCATAAACAAAGAAGTGAATAGAATTGAATTAATTAATAATCAAAGGATCATCGTTATTAATAAGCCACATTAGGATTATGTCTTGCTTTCCTGCCCTTTACTTCACTTTCATTATTCCACATTCCCTTACTGCTTACCTTATCTGCTGTGGGGATGAGGTAGTTTCCATAGCAACCACCCAAGAGCTGGGGGTAGGGGCTTTAGAGCTGAGGCGGGTAGAGAAAGATGGTGTGTATTAGATAAACCCCTACATCTCCCTCTTTATGGTAGAGAGTGCATATATTGTTAATACCAAAAAGCAGCTAGTAGCAATATTCAGAGATTTGTGCATTCCACTTACATGGCACGGACAGCGTGGCATCGGCTTTGTCTGGGTCAAGGTATGTTACATAGTGTAATTGTAGCTATTTAAATACCCAGTAAGTTTCTGATTTAGAAACCTACTAATTTAGACCCGCCTATGGCCACATGCCTAGATATGGAACTACCTGTGCTCCACAGGGGTTATTTATGTGGGTCAAGTACTCTACCAAATCCAGCCATGGTTCTTTGAGGTGAACGAATGGAGGATAGATCCTGCTCTTACTGGAATGTGGAGGATGGAGGTAGGAGGACTAGTACCATTAACACATTACTGTATCCCATCACACTCTTACTACCCTGACCCAAGGGTTTCAACTTAGAAATCTGTCCTGAGTACAATCATTCATAGCCTGTAGGAAATTACCCCAGTGCTTGCAGATACTGAGATGCATAGATGATGTTCTTCTCTGTTTCGATCTGTATCAAGGTGAATGCTACAGACCATGACTGTGCTGTTGAGTAGGTCAGAAAGTATTGGAATGTGATGATTTGATGAATAACATAATGAATTACATGGCAGAAAGACCTAACTGGGAAATGCATGAGCAGATGAATTGATAGAGATGTCAAGCACATTCTGTGGCGCTAACCTCTCAGTTTCTCATTTGTCATTCCCTGCCCCCTCCTCGCTTCTTCTGCAGACACTGTCATCCAAGGAATCAGTTTAAACACCAGCAACTGTGTGTCCTTTAAATCAACTGCTAGTGTAAATCAGTTTCTAACCTTACAGCATTCTAGGCAAGAATGGTTTAAAAGCCTGTGCCTCTTGTCTGCTCCAGAATTTCAAAAAAAAAAACAAATTTCAGAATGGGAATACATAGCCTACATGCAGTCCTTATTTATTTATTTTTATTTTTTTCAAGAAAGACCAGCAGTGTGTGGTGATGTCGCAGATTGTGGAGAGCAATATAAAATATGACACAGACTAAAGGAGATGACCTGTGATGAAGGTTCACTGGCAGTTAGAATGCTAAACAAACAGAATGCTCAAAATGAAGGAATTGCTTTGAGAGTTTCAGATTTTTTTTTGTCTCTGTGTTTTTATACACTGGACTGACGGACTGCTGTTGAGAAGGCAAAGGATGTAGCTGCAGTCCTCTGTGTATGGTGTTTGTCATACTCTGTTGAACTGAGACAATCCTTCTCTCTCAAGATCTGTCATTAGTTTTTTTTTTCCTTTTGTTCTCGAATTATGTGCACATCTTGTTAAATTCATATTCCTTTTACAAATGAATGTACTCACTCACTTTACAACCTTCTATTTTATGCTGCTTGACCATGAGTTGCTATAACAGTTTTATGGAGTGTAAAGCAAAGCTTTACAGCTGTACCATCTGTAGATGTTAAAATTAATTCTAATAACTGTCAATGCTAAGGTTATTTTAGCTGAGCTGTTCAGAATCTCTGTGGGGGCTATACGATAACTGCTTGGTGATAAGTAGGTTAAACCTCATAAGTCGTGAAGTCTGACTTTGTAAAATCATTAGTGTTTGAGATGTGTTCGACTTTTTCACAGTCAGAATGCTGCTATAGAAAAGGCTATAGATCGGATCAGGCTACCAGACTGTCTTGCTTCACAGTCAATAGCCAGTTTAATTTAAGCACCAGAGAAACAATGGCTGTGAGGACATGACATGAAGATCAGAGGTCACAGAATACAAAATGAACTTATTAGGTAGTGGTCACCCATTCATGTAGAGTAATTCAATGTAAATTTGATTACAAAATGAAAATTTTTAACTAAACATTACAAAAAAGTCCGTGGTTTAGTGTTAACTCATGCTCCCTGTGACTGCAAAGACTGTTTTAGAAGTTTTTAGTTCAAGTTTACATGGTGTGCCAGTGGAGATGTGAGTACAGGAACGCTGCAGAATAAAATGTATTGTGGCACACTCACAGAAAGGTTGGGTTTTTACCACTACCTTTTTCTCTGGCATCAGTTCCTCTTGAGGTAAATGTTAAACTAACTTGGTCAAACCCACTGGAAATTTGAATCACTGTAATGCTGAAGTATCATTTACACTTCATGCAGGTTTCACTATTTTATACAACCAGATGATGGCAGTGTTGAGCCCTACACCACTACAATATCCTAAGCATATGTTTATACAGCTATTCACCATACATGCTGTTTACAGAACATGTGATTTTATTGTGAAACTCCACCCATGTGCTGTGGTAGCAGTGTGTGTTTGTAGTAATGCACTTCTTGGAATGAGCTTTCCTGTGTTGCTCCGTCGACACATTCTGATTGCCAGCATACTTTTGAAGCTAATCCTAAAAAACTTGCAGTTGCATGAGTTTTGATAGATATTCACCCAGCCAGTCTTGTCTATATTTACCCTGGCGTGCAGTACAATAGGGGTGGGATAAATATTGACAGCATTTCCCACAGGTTGAGAATTTGTTTGTGGTAGTTGACCCTGGGAGGTGGGAGGGTGGAGCAGCTGCAAACACCACAGAGCATTGAGAGTCAGCCAGCTGCAAAACAGCCTTAAATTCACAAGATAATGGCACTTGCAGAATGCCTCTTTCTGTTAGGCTGTTATAGGCTTTGCAAAATGGTGTTATTTTTTTGACATAATAACCTCAGGAACTTTTTGCACGCTTCACCTTGTTGTAGATTTAAAACATTGTTATTTCATTGCATGATACATTTATTTAGCCCTTTAGTAGGCTGTTCGCTCATGTCTGTCATTTTTAACTTTAAAACTAATAATGATATCAGTGTTGTTCCAAATGGTAGGGGTTGTGGCATTGTGGGGAAACCGAGCTTCTTGGCAGATATTTGTGCTGTCTAGTTAACTTCTGTGCAGTGCTTGTATTAAAGTCCAATGGGACCAACGAAGTATGATCCTCTGTTGTCGTTGTATGTTTATTACCATAATGTTACTGCAGGATATTAGGTCTGCATTGTCAGTAGCATAGCATATGTATGGAAATGCACCTCTTTCTACCAGCCAGCACAGGTGTTCATAAATTCAGCTATTCTTTCCAGTTAGGTGGGCACACTAACTGTTTATACGTTTAGACATTGTGACAGCTTCCAGCAGTGATGCCACTGCTAATCGATTGCCCCCTGTATGGGTCATAAAGCCCTCCTCCTTCATGTTAGTGGATGACAAATGAGCCACACTAAAAACTCAAATACATATCAAATACATTTTTTATGTAGGGGATTTCTGTCATTTTTGGTAGATATGATCATGCTGTTATGTGTACAAGTAGTTATGTTTCTAGTAAGTTTATTGTTAATAAATTGTTTGATATAAAAAGAGGTTTGTTTTGGTTGAGGTGGCAGCTTTGATTGGCGGTTTGATGCCATCACTCCGCTTCTGGTTGCTACCGTGCAGAATCTGGTTGCAAAAAATATCAAGATGGCAGCTGCAGCATTCACAATATTTTGGCTTCACTTTTGCATAGTGGAGTGAAGTGGTGACACATCCTCCATTGTAAATACAGTCAGTGGATGAAAATAATTATTTTGCTGCCTTTGATTTTGCAAGCCCACTTGGAAAAGTTGGGAGTGGAGTATGATATTCACTATGATAGCTAAATAGAACTGCAAGTTATGATAATGCTTTCAGTTTGCCCAACTTTATTAAGAAGCTATAAGCTTATTTTTTAATTTATCATTTTCATTCATCAGTTGAGAATTGCAGGTTATCACCTCTTGGCTAATCAGTGATAAGGTTAGATGTCTTAGTGAATGAAGCAGCATAACTAGAAACTGTTGTTGTTTTGCCAGTTTTGGTGGGTCTTCCTTTCCTCCTTCTTTTCTCTTCTTTCTTTTGTCCTCGTATTGACCTATACCTTTGAGAGATAACTCACTAAGTGGATACCTTTTGAAAAGAGAAGTGCAGCAGCCCAACCCTATATATATTGTACCTGGCCTTTCATTTAGACTGATCAATATTGACTGATGAACAACACCTTGCACACATTGTGGAGAGTAGCAAAAGGCTTGCAGTGGATTTGGATTACTCCATAAGAGGGTAGTGAATCAATGGCTGACAGCTTTGAACAGCAGTAAAACACACCTATTGCACTCAGAGAACCAGCACAGTCGGGGGGTTTGCCAGGTTAACATAGGTAGAAAATGCAGTAATAGACTTTGCTATGAATGAGAAGGCAGTGGTATTCTTCTAGAGTACCCCTAATAATGGATGTCAAAAGGCTTATCTGTTCAACTGCCGCTGGTCAAGTGGTTAACTTCAGTCTCACTTTCACCTCATCTGTTTTACTATTCCTGGCAGTAATCTCAGTTACACATTGGAAGTGATGTGACTGAACCAGTATTACTAATATTGCCCCCTCTTACTTAAGTTCCTCTCTCCCTCTCTACAGATGGAGGAGGGCAGTCATAATGTGCGCCTGGGCACTCCCATTGCCCTCATGGTAGAGGAGGGGCAGGACTGGAAGCAGGTTGAGATCCCCCCGCCAGATGCTGCACCTCCAACTGTTACACAGGTGGCGGCTGCTCCAGTTGCGCACTCTGCTGCTCCCTCTTCACCTCCTCCACCAAAACCACACACATCAGGACTGTGAGTGTTGATGTCTTTCATTTCAATTACTCAAGTCTGGTGTATAGATGTAGATGAATCAATTGACAGTGGGTTTTCTACCACCTCTAGAGTTCTGCAACCTCCTCGCCTACAGTAATGTGGCCATAATGGAGGGTCACAGTTTCTATGCAGCAGTGGGTATAAACAGAAACCCACTGTGTAGCCATCTCAGTAGAATTTAGATTTCTACTGCACTGTTTCAGCCCCAAAAGAAACTTGATTTTTTTCCACCTCTTGTTCAATATACAGCCATTTTGATTTCAGGTCTTACAATATTTATAACCATCTAACCATGCTGAGTAGGATGTGAACAGAGAAAGAGCCTCTGTTCACATTTCAGAATGTGTGAGATCCTACCTACTCCTGTTTACACAGGGCTTATTTGTTATGCAAACATTTTACATGGGGGCTATGTCCACACATTCAGATTTTCAACTTGGCTACATAAGTTTTTTTTATAATTAACCATCAGAATTGATGCTCGACCTTTAAAGCAAAAGTATCAAGTTTAAAACTTGAAAAGGAACTATTGTATAGCATTGTAGAAATCACTCTCCCTTCCATGTGCAGGTTACGTCTGAGTCCAGCAGCAAGACACATCCTGGACACCCATGGTGTAGACCCAAAACTAGCCACACCCACTGGCCCAAGAGGACTTATTACCAAGGAGTGAGTATGATGAATGGGTTGGCTTTAAGACCCATTGCAGGGGGAATGCGTGCTTTCTAATGCAAAAACATAGGATATCTTTGCATAACAAACATTAGCTTGCTTTGACCTAGTCAGAGATTATAATAAGGTAAAGCACACAGAGCATGCAAAGACATTTTGTTCAGTCATCTTGGAAATGTTTTTTTTTTTTTCTGTTGATTTTATTAACTTATTTTAGTTGGAAGTTATTACGAATTCTAAGTAAAAAAAAAAAAAACATTTTGCGGTTGTATGCCTCCTCTAGCCAGTCAAATTCATGGGTATGGGACAGAATTGAGGTTGCTGACCTTGACCTTTGACCACCAAAATCTGACCAGTTCATCTTCGAGTCCAAGTGGACACTTTCGCCAAATTTGAGGAAATTCCCTCACGGTGTTCCTGAGATATTGCATTCACAACAATAGAACGAGCGGACAACCCAAAAACATAATGCCTTTGGCCTCGGCTATCGCTGGCACGGAGGCATAAAAAAATTACAATGAACTATAAAATGATAACAATATACTGTATTATGGGTTCTAAGATGGACTATGACACACTTGACATCCACATTAATTACTGGTGACTGAAAAGATTTGATAGATTAAGTATTATTAGCAATACTTTTTTTTACATGTAACTTGTCTATATTGATGTTCATAAAGTGAATCTGTGTGAAGTGATCTCATATAAACTTATTAAGAAAACAGTTGCAGAAATGGAACTATGATAAGAACATGATCTGCCATGAAATGACCTTAAACTAGTCAAATATTCTAGATGAAGAACGTAGTTTCACATTTTGCAAACACTGTAGTTTCATTGTTTATGCAGGAAGTGATGATCAGCAGTAGATGTTTGTTTAGCAGTGTAAAATGCCAAAGGGCACTGATTGGACGTCATAGTATGTCTGAAGGGAAAAAAGGCAGGTCATAGCCACTGTGTGACTGAAAAGGAAAATATAGGAGTGACCAGGTAAGTCAAAAGGTGGTTAAGATTTAAGGTACTTTAATTCTGTTTTCTGCTGAAGACACTGTGGAGAGCTGTGAACACACACACAGAGATCTAATGGGTACCTGCTGTCAGAAGGGACCTGGCTGAATGCCCTTGTTACTCACCTAACACTCTGCTGGGGAATCTCATTAAGCAACTTCTGTTGCCATGGAAACCCAGTCTCTAGAACCCACTGGTGACCATAGAAACACAGACCATATGTCTTCACAGATGTGTGTCAGGAGAAATACACATGAAGCCTCATAAACCAAACACTAAGAAATGGTACCTCAGACATTCTGCAGAGACTTTCCTCTTAATGCATACCGTGTTGTACTGTACATCTTTTTACATATATGTCTAAAAGAACCATCCTGTTAATCATAACAGCACAGTGTATTTACATTGGAGAGAGCATCTCATATGCACCCTTTGTTTAGCTCATTTGGAATGAAGTATTTTTCTCAGAAGCCTGGTACCAGGTTTGTACCTCTTGCTGCCAACAGAAAAATAGAAATGAAAACTCATGATACAGTTTTACCACAGGAACACTGTTGAGAGTAGGCAGTTCCTATGGCATAAAGCTGTAATTAACTGTCTAGAGAACTAAACACAAGCATACTCTGCTGTGCGGGTGCTGCCATAATTTCTAGGTTTTGAAGTTTAATTGTTAATCCAGTTTTAATTGTATCCCAGTGATTTAATTTGACATGATTGCTCAGCTCTCTTTCTTTGATTTCCATGAATGGCTTTCCACTTCACTTACTGACACCTAAGCTGGCTAATTAGCTCACAGAGTTTTCAGAAAGGAAGGCACATGCTGAAAGAAAGTAGAGGAAGGTTTTGTGGGAGATGAGAGACTCTGCAAAGAGGTTTTAAAAAAGCCTAATTTTGTCTTTGCTAAGAGCCTTTTTTGTTTTAATTAAATGATGGGCACATTACTGGCCAAGCCTCAGAAGAAAGAAAGAACCAAAACTAAAAACTTCACTTTTAAGGCACTACCTGGGTTTTTGTTTGTGGTTCTGTTCAGGGTGTTGAACCCATTACTTCATGAATGGACTCTGATGAACACAAATATAAAGGGTGTCTAATATAGTTACAAAAACAAAGCATCCTTTAAAAATGTCACTATGACCCAACTGTACAGTATGTTATCTGTGATGTTTTTGCTAAAGCTCTGCAGACAACAAGTATCGTGTTGTGGGCTAAATGTCACAGACTTTTTTCCACTCGCAGATGCTAGTTCCTCTATGGGAACTTGAGGAGCCATATCGTAGAACTTCCCATACCTGTAATCCGGTGGAACTTAAAGGGCTGATGTGGTTCCATTTTGCTTTTCCAATGCATTTTTCCTTGTGGTGATCACTGTTTACATGAGAGTGGGGCTGAACTCCTTTCTGCAGAGCTGAGCAGATGACAATCAGGTCAGCACCCACGATGCTCATTAATCATGAATTTAACAAAATTTCTCGGTAATGGAGACTCTATGAGCAGTTTATCAAACAGGAAGAACAAATGGAACACGGACTTGCAAAAACGTGACTGCTTTGCATTAGTTCAGAAGGATATACAGTAGCCCATGTCAGCTCTATACCTTACTTTTAGCTACAAGCTCCTCAGTTTAAAGCAGTCTAGCGTTCATGTAAATATTCAAAAGTTAAATGTCAATTTGTCACTTCAGAACATTAAATAAAATATGGTATAGGTAGAACGCGGTGTAACAGTGGTAACGTTTGAGTCAGTGGCATCAAGTCGAAGCCATATTGTCATATTTTCTCCATACAATATTGTTGCAGTGTTGTGTAACATTTTTTTAATTTTTTTATTTATTTTTTGCTGTGCAGATAAGCTGTACGTTCACGTGCATCTTCACTTAACAGAAAATGACTAGCCGGCCTGCACCATAGATAATTGTCCGTTTTTATTTAAGCTTCATATGCATAGTTTTTTGGTTTTGTTTTTCTAATATACTGTATGTGGATGAAAAAGCCATACTGCACGCAATTCAGCCAAGCAATTTTCATGACTTTGTAGCCTGTCCTAGGTGGCGATAGAAGACAGTTTATTTTATGTCTGTGTACATTTGGTGCTCATTTTATGAGTTAGCACTGTGCGCATCTCTTTCCCATTTTAATATTCCGGTCACCCCCTCCCAGTCTTCCCGAGAGACTATTGCCTTGGTTGTCAGTACAGGTGTAAATGGTTGTTGTGGAAAGCAGTTGCCAACACAGCCACATCATGGTATCTGTGGTGTCATTTTGGAGTGGGAAGTGTTAGCCATTATTGACTCAACCTGCTTTTATCTCATACAGAAACATTTAGTGAATTTGTGTGTGGGTTCTTCTTTTACGTTCTGACTGAAGAGTATGAAATGGATTTTGGACTTTTTTGAACTTTATTTTTTTTAGTATAATGTTATTCATACTCACGTAGAATTTTTCCCCTCTGAGGTGATGTGTAGTCATTAAGCACTGCTTCTGTGTGTCTCATGTTAGCTCCGGGATTTCCAATTTGCCTCAGTCCCTTCACGAACAAATGCTCCTATCAGGGAGTGGGGGTGGAGCCAGTGTGCTAGGGGACAAGGAGAAAATAGCTGTAGGGTCCAGACTGTTTGCAGCTACATAATGAGGTCAGAGGCAGCTGGTCGAGACAGAAGAATAGATGGCTGTGGGCAGGTGGACCCCAGTACGCTTAACAGGAAACAGAGCTTCAAACATGCATGCCATAAATCTGCACACCCCCCACTCACCTTTTTAATTTTAGTGACACCCCCACCCCAAAAACAAACAAAAGAAGATGTCCTATGAAAAATAGGGAAAGCCATTGCTCCATTGCACATTGAAGCCAAGTACTTGTAATTGTAATTGCATTTAAAATTTCAAAGAAATGACAGCTCTTTTATGCAAACTGAAATAATTAGATTTAGTTTTTCACAGTAAAAATGCTATCAAATATCTGAAATGATGAAGAAGAATAAGGTATGTTGACTGCTTTTTGCTGCCTTATTTCCACCCACAGCGCTCCCCCTCTGTCTCCTTACTGGTTTAACTCCTGAGTTTCTCCTGTTTGCTTTGGTATAACACAGTGTATAAAGTATGCTAATATAAGTGTACAAGTGAAACCTACAATATACCATTGTTGCTATTGTTACGGGCATCACCAATACAGACATCAACAGAAAGCGAGCGCTTGTGTTTGGATTTCTGATCAGTCTTGTCAGAGAATAGCAGTATTAAAATAACAGTAAATGATTCTATAGATTTTATTGTATAACTGTATTAAAATTGCTCTATGAAACAGTGCCCCTATATACTGTATCTTTAAACTTTATTAGAGATGCATTGAGACTTTTGAAGACATCTCCTGCACCTAAAGCGATCCCAGCCATGGCTGCTCCAGCTGCCCCTAGTCCTGCCCCCACCCTCGCAGCTACACCTCCACCCCCAGGAGGCAGACCCAACGTACCTCCTCTCTCTGTACCAGGAAAACCACGAGTATTGGTGAGCACTCCTACAATCTCTCTCTCACAAGCACACACACCACATTGTCAGTTTTGTGGTAGTTCTAAGCAGCTGCTGTACACAGCCACAGGCAATCAACAACAGCCATCTTCCAACTTTTGGCTCATGCTAGGGCCCTAATAATCATCTTGAGTATTCGACGACTAGCTGGGATCTTGACTCCTGTAGTATTGTATTTTTTTTATTTGCTTTGAGCTATTAAGATTGAACTTGAACAATTACAAACTAACAACTAAACCACAAGCATCGAAACCACATCTGTATTCAAGTCGTGTGTTGTTTTTTTTTTACACTATATTTAGTTTAGTTCTTCATGTGGTATGTGGTCAAAGACTGGATCTATAAATTAGCAAATACACACATTTTTTTGACCATCACTTTTTTTGTTTTCCATCTTTCCTCTTGTTTTCAAATGCCCTTTTCCTTGTTAACTTATTTGCCTTCTCCTTCCATCCACTTGTCCTCCTCAGGGCACTTTCACAGAGATCCCAGCCTCAAATGTCCGCCATGTCATTGCTCAAAGACTAACACAATCGAAGACCACCATCCCCCATGCGTATGCCTCTGTCGACTGTGACATGGCTGCCATCATGCAGCTCTGCAAAGATTTAGCCAAAGGTAAAAACAAGAATTTTGAGTGAATGTTCACACAGTAACACTGTTCTTTACATACACACACTAGTGCCAGTGAATGCCTGACAGTAACATTGGGATGAAAGCTTTTCTAGGAAGATGTGGAGTTTCATATGACTGCTCAATTGACAAAGAGGACTGGCACTGAAAGAACCTGTGGTACATGTCCTCTAATGCATGGTATGCATCTCCTGTGCATAAGGATAGACCTGCACAGTGTGGGTGGATGAGCATTCACATGTTGGATGGGTTATGAGGTAGGCACAATTGGGACTTCAGTGGTTGAATCAGATCCAGAGGGCTGAATAGTGCTTCATTCATACTAATGATGTTTTATTCATATAGTTGTCCCTTTGTGCTTACAGGACATAAATGTACTCTACCACAGCAGTTATTTATCTCTAGTTCAGAGTGTCGATTCTTTACAGTGTTGGCTCTTTGGTGCACCCTGTATTAAAGTATTAAAGATAAAGAAAATAACTCTGGAAAAGGGATATGTTTGATAGAAATGTCTGCTAGAGGAAAACAACACTATACATTATCAGAAATGAAGGTACTGCATTGATGAAATAAAGCTGGTAGAGCTTCAATATAAATAAAAAATTAGCAGAACTTTGCAGTGGCATGCTCATGTTTTGACAAGCTGCTCTTACTTTCATAGCCTCACATCCTGCCCTAACAACTGTTGAGCAAACCGCAACTTCTTATGCAACACTCCACAGGGCGTGTGTGGGTTTATGGGAGGTTTCACCATCAAATATTTATTTTTAACGGCTGCTTTTCATGAATTCATAATGTAATGTAAACTATGCTGACTTTGGGCCATTTCATGTTGTTATAACAAGGATGTTTTGTCATTTTCCCATTTTTAGTCATTTAGTTCAGTCATCATTAGGTAATTGGCTTCATTTAGCTGAACTTTGCCCAGCTGTCAAACGAACAGTAAATTTGTCAGGGTCCTGTCTGTTACGGAGGAAGTGGAGCAGCCATTTCAGACCTATTAGCGAGGTTAGGTGTGATTGAGGGATTCTCTCTCCGGTTGTTTTTGCTGACTCTCATTGTTCAGGAGCAGTGCGATTTCACAGTTAGCTCATTAATCATTCTGCTCACAGCCTTCATAATCATCTGGTGGGGCACTAATGGGCACTAGTAAAAGTTGGCAAAAATGCCATACCAACTCCTCTTGGCCTGCTGGTGTCACACACAGAGAGGGGACCAGAGCAAAGGCTACTGACTGAGCCTTATTAGAAGGCGACTAGTTCTGACCAGCTGGAGTGCAGGTCAATAAGATTTTTTTCTCCATCTTCATGAAATGTGTTATTGGTATTCATAGTATTATTTCTCATTTGCAAAAATGTGTTCAAAATTGAGGTTGATATCAGCACCATGGTAATAGTTCACATTTAGGGATTGCTTGTAAATAGACTGCTTTGTACATTTGTACAGAAAACATATGGTTATGTTCATTTGTTTTCACCCAGTGTCTTTGGATCTGCCTAGAAAATTAGCAGTTGTCTAGCCGTCCCATGGTCATGGTAGTAAGCAGACATTATAGGTATTTTGCCAGCCATTAAAACCTGAATCAGGCTCACATATTTGGTCTTCTTTATCTTTTCAGAGCAGATTAAAGTGTCTATTAATGACTTCATTATCAAGGCTGCTGCTGTTACACTTAAAGTAAGGATTTTTCAGAATCCTTATTTTAATTAATGTTTTTTGTTACTTAAACCTGTGTAATTTTCATGTCAGGCTTTTTTAAACCCCATTACACTATGTATATTTATAATATCTTCAGCTTATTCAGCTTATTATATGCTGTCAAGTATCTGATCTTTTATATGTGTCAGTGCTTATAAAGCCCCTAGACACACAGATATACTGTAGTTCATGCTGTCAATTATCTACTTAAGGTTGGCAGTGTTGGTGGCAATTGACCTTGTTGCTAACTTGCTCTGGAGGTGAATCAGCTGGTGACAGTATCCAAGCCAATAGAAGACAAGACCAAATATAGACCCAGACACTCGGTTCATTCTGTTCTCTTTTCTGTCACTTCATGGAAATTCTGATGAAATGGCCATGTGTTCAGTTTTTGTCACTGTTAAAACTTTATCTGTGCTTGTACTTTTGCTTTAAAGATAAAGATTAGAGTAACCTGTTAAGATCAAATTCATAATTGTCTTATTTATATGTAGACATTTTTTGTACCATTGTATACAGTAAATCTTTTTAGATTTGGTTGCTTAATCATTTCTCCCCATACTATACTGTAATCTCATGCTTTTTGACAGTTACTTTTATTGATTCCTATAAATGCTACAGGTATAGGAAATTACCTACTTTGGGTTTTGTATCAGACCTTTTGTGTGTTTCTTTCCTAACACTTGTAACTAAAGCAGGATTTTATGTTTGTTTTTAGTTACAGTATGTCACTGTCTAGTCATTTGTCCTTGTTAATATATGTCAGAACATGGGCTGACCTCTGACTCTTATCCTAGGAAATGCCAGAAGTGAATGTGACCTGGGCTGATGATGGACCTTGTGCACTCCATTCAATCCACATTGCAATTGCAGTAGCGACGGATAAAGGCCTCATTACTCCTGTCATCAAGGATGCTGCTAACAAAGGACTCAAGGAGATCTCAGCTAATGCTAAGGTAAAAATCACATCAGTGGGAGGAATTAAAGCCAGGGAAACATTACAATGATCATGTTGTAGTATGTTGTGAGGTAACTCTCCTATAAGAGTTGTCTCCTAAAGCCTTCTTGCAACAACATTTTTTTTTATGTGCTTCCTTTGTTGTTGGTAGATGAACCATTCAGTGTATCTGAGGTGAAGACGGCGGCTTCTGCTGTTGATTTGTGCATGAGAATAGATAAGGGGGTTCAGACTTGATGCCCAGATGTATTGGAAGCAGAAAACTTTGTCTAGAACTTTACCAAATAGTCATATTCTCTGCTGTCCATCACTTCATGATGAGTAAAAAAAATCTTTTCAGATAGACCCTTGGATAACTGATTAGACTTGGGATAGTGAGATTTTTGGGTTGTTAGGTTGCAGGTCTCAGCTGTCACTGGCCACAGATGGAGTACAAATCAACAATGTTCAGCTGTTTCTCCTGCTCACATTCAGCAGGTGGGGACAGACATAAATTCACAAACACACAAAAAATGCTCTCATAATCTGAAATGCGTGTATGGACACACTGTCGATAATAATAACCTCACTCTGTCACATTAAAGAGATGTATCCAAATCAAATATATGAATGTGTTAACAAGAGGGTAATGAATGTAATGATTCTCACCAGCAGTGACCACGTCTAATATTCTCCACATTTTGAGGTTCCATATTAGTGCATGTTATGTTTCTGTGAGAAGAGGGGGGAATATGTGTAGCAGGTTTTGGGGAATACACTAGAGTATATCTGAGTCAGTGAGAGTTGTTGGGAGTGTGAGTTGTCGCAGGGAGTGAAAGGGTGTTTCATTAGGTTTAGACATACTATTACTCAAATTCCAGTATATATGCTGGAGTGGTAAAAAATTCATGCAGTCAGATTTTGCAATAGATATCCACACAGAAACACTCCCAATGCTGAAGCAGACATCTCAGTGCAATAATATTATAATGCGTGTTAAGTGTTAGCAAAACGAGCTGTGAACATTATGCTTCAGTTGTGATGGAAATATTGTGTAAATACAGTAGATACAGCCAATTAGATTTTCATTATTTTATTATAACTATCTTTTTATACACTCCCTGACCATTTTTGTTACTTTTGTTGATGAGGGAAAAGTTACAGTTGCATTAAATATTATGTTGATGAGAAAAAAAATCTTTGTTTGACTCTTTGCCATTTCAAAGTGAGGGGATTCGAAGTTTTGCACCTGACTGTAAATGGTAAAAGGATGGATGGTAAATCAACTTAGGCAAGGCAGCTTTATTTATATAGCACAGTGGCTTGCATTCCTTTTAACTATTTGGATATTTGTTTTATTTTGTATGTTACATATTGCGTGTATATTTGTTTAGCACTGTGCTGTATGAATCCTATCCAATAACCTGCTGGGATTGTTTATTCTCACAGTGTAATGTTCAGGCATGTCTCTTCCATAGGCATTGGCCCAAAAGGCTCGAGAAGGGAAACTTCTACCTGAAGAGTACCAGGGAGGTTCATTCAGGTAAACCCAAGTCACACATCATCGCTTAAAGAAAAGCATAGGAAATTATACAACTTACTGTTATTCTCCAGCCCTTCCTCAGTAAGATAGCTATCATAAATTTCTACTGTTACAACTTAAATCCAGTTTCACAAAGAGTCAATATATTATGCATATTCTGTGTTTTATATGGGCCCGAACTGAATCTGGTCTTAGCCGACAAGGGCCATCAGTAACTGTGCCATCAATTACAGAAACGTGGAATGGAGGCTTTTCAGCTCATTAGAATTAATGGTGTCATTTAGGCATAAATGGGGTTTCTGTGTCAGGCAGGAGCAATGAATTCCTATAGAGCTGCAGCCCTCCTTGTCCCCCTGAGAATATATGTGTGCTCTTCCTCTCTTCTTTTTTTCCATAGCCTTGAGCTAGAGTTCTTATTAAGGCAAACAGCAAAGTGCCCTCAGGTAATTCTTACTCATAATACCCAATATTTAGGGAGAGATTTGTCTAGTGCTGCTGGATTAATCTTTACTAATCAGTGTTCTATTTTATGAAACAAGATGTTCACAGACAATTATATTTATACACTTGATTCACCCTCATTTTATATCCACTCACTTTAATGTCTCTTTTTGCATCAAGGAGCTGGTTTTAAAACCACCATTATGTCCACTTAGTTAATTTTTATGCATTTTCTTCCCCTGCTGAGCTTGACTAGTGATGTAATATGTGTACTGTCACTTCTCTCTTCCCATCCCTTCCCTTCCTCTCTCCTGACTCCTTTCTCTCCCTGGTAGTATATCTAACCTAGGGATGTTCGGTATCACTGGCTTCAGCGCTGTGATCAACCCTCCTCAGGCATGTATCCTTGCCGTCGGGACCTCCAGGGCTGAGCTGCGATTGTGCGAGGATGACCAAGCCCTGCGCACTCAGCAGCTGATGACAGTCACTCTGTCCAGCGATGGCCGGCTCGTTGATGATGAATTAGCATCGCGGTTTCTTGATAAATTCCGCACCAACTTAGAACAACCGCATCGCATGGCCCTAGCTTGAAAAACAAGAAAAATAGGTGAATGAAAGGGATTGCAAAGTGAAAGCAGAAAATACCTGCTTGACAGTGCCTGTCTCATGCTTTCACAAACAGAGAGAGAGTAGATATCAGTTTGTGCTTGGATTAATACTGACAAAGTAGGCTTGTGCATAGTGTAAACTTGAGGTTGTGGCTTGCTTCTTACAGATAATCACCAGGCTTTATGATGGAGGCATTAAAGTGGGATTTTCTGCTAGAGTGGCAGAGGACTTTGGTGATGCCAAGGCAGAGAATGCATTATGCATTGCAGGGTACATGTAGTGCAATGGGTGGGTGGGGGGGGGTTGTTTCTGTTCAGGTTATATGTTCAGTCCCAGTGCATCCACTCTGTGTCAATATTAATACAAGAAACAGTCTATGGCACTATACAACTTATGTACATGTGATATTTATTACTGAAATCAGTGCCAATGCAGTTTCCAATTAGGGTTATTATGAAATTCAAACAGAAGTATTTAGGATTTGGTGTTTTAAGGTGGCAATAAAACTGGTGAACCTCAATATGTTTGTGATCCTCATTAAAACATTTTTCTCCCCACCATCATGATGAAACACAGCTGCTACTACCAGGGAAACCTCAGGTGTAGGTGTGTGTGTGTGTGTGTGTGTGTGTGTATGTGTGTCTCTTCAGATTCTAATTAAATAGGAACAGAGTACTTTTTTCATAGAAGCCATTTAGGATGATTTGCTGGACTGATTATAGAGGTCAGCTTGTTCTGCCTGATGTTTATCTTTGTCGTAAGCATGGGCAGAACAGCTGTTTACATATGTATTATCATGAGTCAGACGAAGCTTATCCTACATGTGTAAGAGTCTGCTGTTGGATTTTAGTTTACTGAATATGTTTCAGAATTGAGGAAAACTGATCAAAGATTTGTTTGTCTCCAGCTTCTCTTATTGCTACATAGAAATTCTCTAAAATTGAGCTCATTGCTGCTGTTTACAGAAACTCATGAGTTTCTTTGCATAGCAATTTTTTTATATACAAAGTGGGCTTTCAAAATTTTAAATTCATAATATCAATTACCTAAGATGAGTTGTGGATAATACAAGTGGCAATAGAACCCAGGCACAGGAACTGCATTAATATTTAATGCAATTACTGAATGGCCAAGGCTGTAGTGAAAATCATTGCCTGATAGTAACTCCAACTGCCTTTTTGTCTTTTATTCTGCTTTTACTACGACACTGTACACATAAGAACCACTTCTCCATGACTGTGGAGCAAAGACATTAGTTCTGTTGGTGTGGTATCAGATGGGGATGTGTGCATTCTGCATTGAGACGAGAGATATAGGCAGGGCACATCTGACAGATGCCACAGCCCAGCTGTTTTTACATTATGCCAACTATGCCCACTGGTCAGCTAACTCTTTGCACACCCACATACACCCTCTACAGTGCAAGTTACTATGGTGATGGAAGGTACACTTAAAACGTGGCGAGGGGACAGTTAACATTTAAGCTTGAGTTGTAATAACCATACAACAATGAGGAGTCAGCGATGTGCATGTGTAGATTTTTTTTTTCCTTTGCCATTTGATAAGATTGAAATGTCACTAGGAACACACATTCATTTTGTACCTGGATTATTACAAGCTGAAGATCTTCATCTCTAGTTATTGCCTTTTCACTAAATCAAAATATGCTTGGTGAGCTGTGCCCATAATCCAATGTTTGTACTCTTTCACAGCTGCTGGGAAGAATTACTGTAGCCTTATTGATCAACCTAAGATCAAGTCAAACACAGAAACTGATGCAGCTACTTAACGTGGCGACATCATGGGGTGAATCCCATTCAAAAAAAAAAAAATGTATGTAGTGAAGTTGGGTAGATCTAGAAACCTTTGAATGAGGTGGCCAAGCTGGGGCACAAAGATGGAGGGCACATTTGAAACGTGTAAAAAGTAAATTAAACCTCTAGTTCTGTGAAAAAATAAACCGTATATTATTAAGAATCAAACTGCTTATTTTGTGTGAAGATGAGACACACATAGTGTTTAGCTAACTTTGGCTGCGGACCATATTTACTCCTGGCTGGGAACGTCAGTAGTCGTGCATTACATCAAGTGTAGGAATTTTAGATGTTTAAACACCCGTAGATGAGGTGACAGCTCAAGAAACTCCAGCATGATACTGACAGGAAAATAGTGTTGGAAAATTATCCTGAGCTAGTGGTAACCACGTTAATGCCCTTAGAAATGCTGATTAGTTGTCTCATGTTCTTGCACTATCATGCCTCCTAGCCTAATGAGATATTTGTGCTGGGACAAAGCCTCCTTGTGTCGTTGGTATGCAGTATCCTTCAGGCTAATACTTATGATGAATTAGACTATTCTTGCTGTTGATACAATACCCTTTTTTGTTATTATTTGCCCTTGGTTGATAGAGTACTGTTTATATCAAGATGGTGAAATCATGTACTTTTATTGGACCTTCCTGCTATGTTTCCAGCTTGACACCTGCTGGAACTGTTAAGTAGGGCAGTTGAACAATGCCTGTCCATATATGAGCTCTGAAAATGCAGCTAAACAGATTCTGACATTTATTTGGGTTTTCTGTCGCAGTCAGACATTTACTCTTCTGACTGCTGCACGCCACTCTCTGACCAGATATCTTGTTATGTCTAACAGCTGGATAATAAAGCCGCCAGACACAAGGCATCAGATTTGTTCC